TACGGTTGGGCTAAAGCCAAAACACTATACTTGTTAAAAAAAAAACATCCAGGCCACCCCAGGAAGAAAAAGTGGGTTTTGAATCTACTGTTCTTCAAATGCAGACCACCTGCTCAAATATTCATCCATTTTAATGCACAACTAACCGTATTTATTGGAAGAACATAAAAGTTACAAATAAGAGGAGGCCATTTAGTCCATCTCACCCTTTTAGCAGTTAACTACAACCGATAAGCTACATTTTGTCCCCCCCAACAAGAACATCTGAGTTACTATGAGTAACCCAAACAAAAAAAGGGCTTTCCTGGAAAGTTTGCACATCCTGTTCTGCCCCAGACATGAAAACGAAGGATCCTCTCGAGACGCACGCTGTAGGGGACCCACCCCGCCCTTGTGTTTTTACAGCACAGGGCCGAGAGAGATGGAGCCCATCAGGGGTACAAGGGAGAAACTACAAGCAGCGTCTGCAGCACATCACAAGAGAGAAGCTTTAAACACAAAGCTTGTTGCAGAGCATTTGGGTAGATTAAGCACTAGGAAGAAAAACATCCCTCTGAGACAGAAGTGCCTGATACAAGGCCTAGGAATATGCAGGTCGGCTTGTTTTCCATAACGCCTTTAGAACACCGAAGCATTTAAAGACGCAGAAGCCTCATTTAATAAAGAATACCCTACCCACGTGGAATAAAAAGCAGGTGACTGAAGACCCAGAGCTGCAGGCCTATGAATGTCTGATCTTGACAGACACGGTCTGCAACCACCGAAACCACAATGAGCCACTTTAAATCCCACGTCAACCTGGAACAAACTGCAGCTCAGCTCCACTCCATGCTGGCCTATTACCTCTGTGAGCTTTTTAACATTTGGTAAACAAGGGTCAGAACAGGTCGCTGTTGCTTAAGCTTCATGGTTTCAGGTATTAGCATAAAAGGTGAACCTGGGGCAAAGGTCCATTTAGTTTGCCCCCACCAACCCAATATTTTCAGGACCTCAGGTCCTGGACACAGCACACCGGCCCTCAGACAGAGAGGAACAGGTTACACCACTAGACATGCGGAGATGGGAGAAGAGAGCTCCATTAGAGAGCTGCATTACTCACCTGGCTGTTCTGAGAAGAAAAAGCTTTTACCGGCACATTAGTGTTTCATTAAGCAGGGAATTCTCCTAAAGAAGCCACATTATTCATGGGGAGTGGAAAAAAACACGCTCAGTCCTGCAGGGAAATACTTTAAGATTTATAACTTCATCTGGAATAAGAAATGCAAACCACAGCTGGCAGTGACAATGGAAATGTATTTTAAAAGGCAGCATACATTACTGATAAAGGCAAGAAATAAAGTCCCAGTGTGAGAGAACTTAAATGTATTTTGATTAATCACTGTTGCGCAAGGAATCTTAATGGACCAGCAACAGTTAACGAGTTTCTACTTCAAAATTGCCCACTAGAGTTCGGAGAGTTCATTCAGAACAGAAGTCATATCCTTTACAAAAAGGAATTAAAACTAATACAAAATGAAAGATTTCGATTAAATCTAAATGCATTAAACGTACATTTCCACAAAAATTGCAATTGTAAATTGTAACTTCTAGGTTGAAGTGATTACTTGCTGTTTGAGATGTTACCGGACTTGACAACATGAGAATTCTAGGTGTACACTCACGTATGGTCTCCCTTATAAAGCACATCATACAGAAATCACGCTCCACTTTAATAAAATTTCCTCTTGACACCAGGGTTCACAGTAGCCTCAAGAAGCACCCCCTGAACAGGATCCTGGCTGTGCTGCAACTGGTATGGTCCTGGTCAAGATCCTGTCATCTGCCCCACCGCCCCACAGCCCTCCCATCCTCAGAGGGTTCTGGTGAAAGGATGATAATCTCATCTGAGGCAGCTCGGATCAAATTAGCTCTCCCCTTACCCTCCTCCTCTCGAGCGCTCGCTGCCTGCCTTGCTCTATCCCCATGCCAGGCCACTGTCTGGCGTGTCTAACTTGATCAAGGCCTGAGCAGGGGCCCCTTAAATGAAGTAAATAAAATTACATTAATGAGAACAGCTTAGCCCTTCATTTTTCCTACTAGACGCATTTCATAATTGCTCAATTACTAACTAAAAAGAACCTTGGGAAAATACATTTTGCGCGCTCCGTCCTAAGCATGTGGAATAAATTAAACGACTTCAAGATATCCATCCTTCTGCTTTAAATAAAAGACATCATGGGTATTTAAGAACTATTATGTATTGAAAATTCTTTAGGCCAGTACACGGCAAATTTAGCTCTTTTCTAGGATTTTAATTTTTTTTAGAAATCCTGCTGAATGCCATTAACCTTCGGCAAGAGGTTTCTGCCCCGTGGTCCTCTCAGAAGCGTGACCTCTTAGTTTAGGACTGTTATCCGAAGTCACCAGGTGGAAGATGAGCTGTGCAAACGTCATGTCAAGAAGCGAAGGATGAAGACCACCTCCCAGCTGCACGCGCTGCACTGCGCCTGGATGGGCAAGGCAGGTCAGAACTGAGCACACACACACACGGGACGAGCTCCGCCATGCTAGCTACAGACACAGGAAGAGGGAAAGGGAAAGAGTCTCAAGGCGCACGAGATAGCAGGTAAGGAGAGGAGTGTGTAGTCCTTGATTGTGCAGCTCCTTCCTGTGAAATAGCCGTTTCTCATTACCACATTAGGCTCTTACCAAAAACCTTTTACTCTCAATGCATCAGTATAACCCAATAAAGATCTTCAGGGTGCAGGGCTAATGTACTTCAGTAATTGTATTGTTTTTTTTACAGCAGAGCGGTTTTATGACAGCTGAAGAGGAGAATGCCATAAAAACACAGCATCTTCAGAGTCTGCTACTTAAATATTCAAGAGAATTAAACAACTTAAGACCACTGATGTGCCATCATTCACATGCACTGAACACCCGTTTCCAGCCCTTAAGAAGTGCTGAAATGCACACAACACGTTCGTAAACACAAAACATGTTCCTAAATACCTTTATACTTTTTTATGGGACTGATATCTGCAAACAAAATGAGAGAAAGATAATACAGGGTAATGAGTTGTGAGGCTAAAAGCTTGCTATTTGTCATATTACATTAAATTGCAGATCGTCCATAAACAAACTAAAATTACACTCTGGCTGCAGGAAACTTTGTCACTGCCAGCTTTGGCATAACTGCATTTCCTGATTTACAGCTGAAACATCTTGCAAATACACTGAGAAAATATTCTCCTCATTTGTCAAAGCCGAGCATCAGCATTTTCCATTTTCAGCTTTTAGAGGAAAAAAAGTAATTAGATCTCATCAAATATTTGTCATTAAAAAAATCACGGCGCGTTCTGCTAAGAACATTCCAACAGAAAAGCTGCTCTGTAGCAGAAAGAACTGGGTCAGATTCCCAAAGCAAAACTTTGTTTAGACTTTGATGTATTTATCTGAAACCTAAACATTCTGAATGAGTATACATATGAACAGACGACTTTGAACACTAATGCGTCTCTTCCATTAATTCAGAAATGTACAGTCAATTGTTTTTAAAAAGGTGAAAAGCTCACTAACATACAATTTACGGCCACTTGTACACTTTGTGGATGTACACAAAGAACGGGTGCGATTCTCTCTCACTAATACGACTCACATAAATGTGAACTAATGAAATTTTGTTTTGACCGAGAAGTGTAATGCATGGAGACAATGTACAAAATATTAAATTTCATTGGTGGTAATGTCAAGCCAGCATACCACATCTTTGGTGTCCCATGTGACAAAACAATTGCTCACGAAGGTGCTATCCAGCTCTTGCTGCAGATTGATCACTCAAGAGGTGTAACAATCCTACAGATGATTCGGCCAGCAAAGCTGACGAACCCAATTCTATCACAGCATCATCCACTGTACTAGTACTGTAGTTCTTCATATTAGTTCCACGGAAAACGTTCCTATTTGTCAAAACCTTTTTCTAAATCAACAAACAGTACTGTTTGTTGAATTCATCTTTTTGAAAAAACTTGGTATGATACAACCAGTATTGATATTCCACACAGAATGGACTTGAAAAGTCCAAGTTCGTGACATTTAGCTAACCAGACCAAACAGATTCAAGCTGTAAAAACTTATTCAGTGTACATGCTATATATCTGCAGAAAAGTCAGCTTTTCATATAGAGCTTCCAGCCTTGTCTAGAGCAAACACACCAATTCATTCTAGATTTGCAGCTGTGTTGCTTTAACCACTCAAATATGCATATTCAATTCAAAACAATGGATAGAACACTAAACCGTATTACCAGATAAATGTAAAATAAGCAAAGGAACAATTAAACCTTCAACATTGACAAATTCCAGAACAAACAAAAAACCACCACCACCAAACCACAGAGAACACCAACTGCACAGACCGCAGGCAAGACCCACCAGGCAAGACCCACCAGGCACTTAAAGCCGGATTCCTTTCGATGACGCCCCCTGATCTGACGGTGAGAAACTCTGGGGCTGCAATTCAGAACAGATGGGACAGTGCAGGCAAGTCAAGACGGCAGTCGGTTAGGGACCCAGGCTGTTAATGGGGAGGGCACCTCCCTCCTGAAAAAACCAGGAACTGCAGCATCTATGAGCTGACCTGCAGAGGAGTTTCCAACCTCAACCTGCACATTGGGGAATCCCCAAAATACCGGACTGCCAGGTGACGCAGGTTACAGCACTGTTGCTCTAGGGGAACCAGAAAGGCGCGGGCAGCACACGGGCTGCAGCACACACGATAGAAAGCCCGTGCACGCCCCCGAACGTCCCAGCCGCACAGCCACGTTAGCAGGGCTGCTTCTGCGCTGCTTTCGTAAAGCAGCACCGATGTGAAAGCAATAGAGCCGCTCTACAGCCTTTATTCCCCAGCTCTGAGACGTTTCTCACTTCGCCTTTCCCCCACCCACACACACTCAGGACAGCAACGACACGTGGCAGAACCAAGGCAGGCTGCCTGCCAGCACGAATCGCTTCCAGGCTTACCTCTACGCTGGGGCTAAGGCTGCTGGGCAGGGTTTCTGAAGTCACAGTTGTGCTCGGAAGGCTGGAAAACTCCCACAGATTGACCGGAGGCGTGGGCTCTACAGGCTTCGGGGGCTCGACACATTTCTGATTGTCCAGTAAGGTCACTTCATAAAATTCCTGGATGTCTGCAGGAGAGAAAGAGAGGGCGGGAAATGAACACAGTGGGGGGGAGGAGAAAGGAAAAAATAAGAGGTATGCTTTCCAACAATGTTAAAACTTGCATTCACATTAGAAAGAAAAAAAACTTGTTAGGGTACTTTTACAGAAGCAGAACTTGTGCTAGTCTCTAGCACAGCAATAATTGTCGACGTGTGTAGTCAAGTTCATTTTAAATCTCAGCAGAGACAGAGAAGAGGTCATACTTTGCAAATGTTGAGTACCCAATCGTGGGGAAAGGACAAATAGGTGCATTTATAGATGGAATTCCGTTACAAGGCATAATCCTGGATTCACAGCCCTTATAGACATTCAGCAGAATAAAATGCCTGTCTTAGGAAAAACACAGAAATAAGTTGTTTTCTGTAGACTTTCACAACCTCCAGTGCAGGTTTAGCAGGGTTTAAAACTCCAGGGAACAACAGGAGGGGAAAGGGGTCCACTCTAAGTTAAACTAGAGCTGAAAGGAACAGGTGGATCATATGGATAAGCAAAGGCATTGAGAATGGCTCTCTGGCTCAGGATCTGCACCTGTGGCTGGAAGGTTGCCGGTTCGAATCCCACGGACAGCAGAGGAATCCTACTCCGTTGGGCCCCTGAGCAAGGCCCTTCACCCCAGCTGCAACAGTGGCGCCTGATAAATGGCTGACCCTGCTCTCTGACCCCAGCTTCTCTCCCTGTCCATGCGTCTCATTGAGAGCAAGCTGGGGTTTGCGAAAAGAAATGCTTAATACAATAAATTTTATATGGCCACTAAAGTGATCTGATCTTTTTTTTGTAATTCATGTTATGGGTTCACTTATCTCCTGGATTTTTCTAGTGCTGGAGAACGATTCTCTAGGTCAGGTTCAGTGCCTACAGCAATCCTGGCAGAAATGTTTGGCAGTTCTGCCTGCAGCCACCTCTTCACTTCACAACAGCAAGCTGACTTCCTCTCTTAAAGCTTCTTCATTGACAACGAGGACCACGTCCATAAGGCATTTTCTGCCACTGTAACTTCCTCCGACGCCTCTTGAGAAAAGGCCGTTCTACAGAAGCATTAACATACCTCCCCCACTAATAGGCCAATGATTTTATTGAAACCTGAGGTTGAAAAACAGAAAGATGGTCTTTAAAAAAAGAGGGAAGTCGGATACAATCGTACTTCCCCGATATCATGGGCAGTCATTTTTATTGGTTCAGACCATCGCATTTTCTAAAAACCAGGAGTCGATCCTGCGCTTCTGAAATCTCCTGGATCGTTCTTGTACATGCGCTGCTCAGCTGTGCCAAACCCTCAACACGTCCTCCTTTGCCAGCTCCTGATGGCACTTTATCCATTAGCTTCAGGAAACAAGACCAGCGGCATCAGGAACATTGCGAGATAAGACCCTCCTGACACAGTACAGAATGAAACTGGCAGCGTACGTGTCTCTGAACGCACAGCTGCGGAGACTTAGGAAAGGATCATATCCGGCATCTCGGAATGCAGACCTCAAACTACATGCTGGAATTCATACCAGTGGGGCTTTAGATTACCCTTTGGTAATTAGATTTAGTTTGGGTGTGTGTGCGCGTGTGTGCACACAGTGGGGTGCGCTCATTAGACTATTCTATTAAAATAGGGGAGAATCAGGGGGGAAAAGTCAAACGTTTGATCTTCTAAATTTCTGAGAATCAATGCAATCAAATGGAAACATCAAGAGGAAAGTGATAAACGAGCAGCAAAAAAATACAGTGATGCTTTAGAATTACCATAAGATGGCTCAATCTTCCCAGTAAACGAACCTTTGAGGAAGTGCTCGGAACAGCGGGAAAGGCAGAGAGGTTTATTAGCGTGAATGGCACTGATAGAGAGCAGCGTTTTAGCTCCAATTTACTTCCAGGTGAGATGGCAGACAAAATTAATTAATTTCAGAATAAAATGTGAATTACCAAAGTTTGCAAAGCTCAATAAATGACCTTTCGTTTCAGAAAAGCATTATTTACTTTTCAGGCTAACGGATAACGAGAATGTCAAGGCCCATCTGTAAAAGCTACCTTACCGTGCCAGAGAAGCTCCTGTGACTGTAGAAAAGGCACTACAGCCAAAAAAGAAAAGGACAAGAAAATTCTTGAACTCACAATGGGACAGAAAACAACACGTTCAATATTGGCTTCCATGAAAACGTAAGACCTGCAACGCCAAGAAACTCCAATCACTTTTAAATTACTTTAATACAATACCACTTCTGAAATCAAACACCACAACCTCTGGACACAGGACACCTGCACAGCAGAAATCAAGAGGGGCGCTCGGTCTAAAACAGCAGGCCAGTACGAACACCCACTTCACACAGCGACCCTTCAGAGTCGCACAGATAAAACTATACAGAACATCCAGTCAGGACAGATACAGTTTTGGCATCCAATTCAAGAAACGCCTACCCAAAGTGAACTGGTATTTAAAAAACAGCTTTGTCTTAGATTAAAGCCCCTAAAACATACAGCTGTTTAACAGGACTAATCAATGTATTTAATCAAGCAAGTCTAAACAATAAAAGCGCTTTTCCTAATTGTGCTTACAGCTTCCCATCTTCATATTAAGTATTTTATTAAGCAAAATCCTTTTAACTGTCCTTCACAGTTCTGCACGATATTGAGGTCTAAGCGTACGTGGTAACAGAATGACAGCATGATGTTGTTCTGGTAATGCCTCTTTTTAACCTCCAGTCTTGGCGAATCTGTGCGGTTTCAGCTGTAGGCAGGAGAGACCGCAAAGAATGAAGAGAACTGGGGAAAAAATCATGGAATGGGATAACTCCTCACACCAAGCCAAAAACAGTTCACGCACACGCCAACAGGGAGGCCAACGGCCTGAACAGCTTGATGCAGCACTGGCAAAGTTTTCAGGCCACGACGGCACACACAGTTGCACAGTGCTTCGCAGTCAGAACAGTTCCACTCAGCTTAGAACCCTGCTGAAAAAAAATTCAATTGTTTGGGCACACTGCTAAATCACCCACGGTGCAGACTGCTTTACATGTCGCATACAAGCTAAAATAATTACCAACATCCTCTAGAACGGCACAAATGGTCATTCGACAAGCTAAGCATTGTGAGCGACAATGATGATCATTTGTTGAGCAGACGCCTTTACCTGGGGTGACGAACAATACAGAAAACTCAGATTAAGTTTGAGCACAAGAATCTTGCGGGGTTATAGCGGCAATATCAACTGGCTATTACGAAGGGGATAGGAACTGGAAAACAATGAATCAGTGAGTGTAGTTAAGAGTCATGTGGCGTCTGGTACAGACTCTGAATGGTGGTCAGGGACTTGGCATTTCAGTGGCTATTTCATTTAACCACTAAAGGTGGCGCGAGAAATCCCTACAAACTAAAAACCTCTTAATTATAAATCGCTCAAGAATGTTAATTGCCGACTGCCGACTTTTATGGCTTCCTTCCAGAAAGTTTTCTTCACGTTGACATCCTGCCTTCTTTCAGGAAACGGCTCGACGGAGCTCCCTGGCTCAGTTGGCTACCGAAACACCAAAACGAGCACGGCAGGACAAAAGGCCTCCTCTCCCAATTCATCCGGGAACTAAGAACGTTAAAAAAAAAAAACCAATACACCCAGCGGACCGCCGGCTGCAGGACGCGGCTCGTGTTAAAAAGTGGTCGCAGCGCCCCGGCCAGGCGAGAAGGGGCCTGTGTCCTGCGGAGCAGGAAACCACAAACTGCACGACAAACTCCAGCCCCACGCACGCAAGCAGGGGTCAGCTCCCAGAGGGCCCAGCGACATCAGGCGCCCCAGTTAAAGCCAGAGCCGCACGCAACAGCCCCGTCTCAGTGCTGCGGGCAGCTGCTCATCTATCGGCCCCACACCACCACAAGTCCACACAGTGGAGCTCAAGCCCTGCACGCGCGCGCACACACACAACGCTGAAGAGAAAACAGTCCTGGATACCCAAGAGGGGGCAGCCCAGCTGGGTGTCTGGACACAAGCGGCTTTTTAAAACAACCAAGCACCGACGCGCCTAAGGTAATCAAGCCGATTCTGTCGGCATCCCCACCCCCTCCCCTGACAAACTGGGGCTCCTCTTGCTTTTTCAGCCTGGCCTGCATGGGGCCAGCAGTAACTGCTTGGGCTATAAATGTATTTCCTTTACCGCCGACTGAAGAACATGGCTTTTACTTTATAACCCACCGCACCAAGAAAGTAAGATCCGAAAACAAAAAAGGAGTGAAGAAATTGTAGGTTTTTGCATTAACGTTAACGAGGTAAAAAAAAAAGTATTGGAATTCCTGACGATCTGACGACAATTCAAGTTTCAGAATTTCATCCTGCGTTCCCACTGGTGTACAAAGCATTGATTTTACAGTGTTGAAAACGTACAGGAAGAGTAATAAAAAACTTCAGAGCCTAATTATCAACCATTTATAAAAAAGAAACACTTGCTCTTTATACAATCACCCCCCCTAGCAGGGCCTGAATTTCACCGACCCCAGCTCCCCCCAGAGATGATCTGTAGTGTTAAATCCTAATGGCGGCTACACTAGAAGACAACTAGAAGCTGCCAACTCCTTCAGACAAAATAACTTGAAGTACAGATCAATAAAGTAAAAAAAAAAAGCATCAGCACTGTCAAAATTTGTTCCTAAGCAATCTAATTAAATCTTAGTCCTCGGTTAATTATAATTAAAAGATATATCATAGTCAGCTATACTGGGAAATAAACAAATTAAAAATTAAAATTGAACCACACCCAGACAGCTGTTTTTAGATTAAAAAACTGCACATCTGGCATTCATTACAATCCTGCCAACTGTAACAGGATGCATAGTTCGTATACCGAAGAGCCTAAATGTTAATACACTTGCATGCCAACAACTAAGAATGTAGAAAGTGAATTTAAAAGGCAGACTAGTATAAAAGGCACATTATGAAAGTAAAAGAAATAGACAGAAAGGGTAGTAAACCCAATTTTAAAGAAGGCAAACAAAT